CCACTGACACACCAACGATTGGGGCACTGTGTCTCCCCCCCACTGACACCAACGATGGGGGCACTGTGGGTCTCCCCCCACTGACACCAACGATGGGGCACTGCTGTGTCTCCCCCCCACTGACACCAACGATGGGGCACTGTGTCTCCCCCCCACTGACACCAACGATGGGGCACTGTGTCTCCCCCCACTGACACCAACGATGGGGCACTGTGTCTCCCCCCCCACTGACACCAACGATGGGGCACTGTGTCTCCCCCCCACTGACACCAACGATGGGGCACTGTGTCTCCCCCCCACTGACACCAACGATGGGGCACTGTGTCTCCCCCCCACTGACACCAACGATGGGGCACTGTGTCTCCCCCCCACTGACACCAACGATGGGGCACTGTGTCTCCCCCCCACTGACACCAACGATGGGGCACTGTGTCTCCCCCCAGACACCAACGATGGGGCACCATCATTGGTGACAGTGGGAGGAATAGCGCCCCATCATTGGTGTCAGTGGGAGGAATAGCTCCCCATCATTGGTGTCAGTGGGAGGAGCCTAAAGAGAAAGGGGTGGAGTTTGCAGATGAAAGGGTGGGGCAAATTTAGATGGGGGGGTGCCCGATTTTAGTCTTGCCTAGGGCAGCACAAAACCAAAATACACCACTGATTATGGCCATGTTAAAATGACTAAATGTGCTGAGAGAGCGCTCCCTGCATGCTCCCAGCATGTTAGGCGGTGGGGATCAGCTTTCCGATCATGTAACCACTGTGACAGCCAATCACAGCAGTCACATGACCTGAATGTCTGCCTCTCAGCTTTTAGAACCCATAAAGGGCCGGGAGGTGATTGGCACCAAGGGTAATTCTGGCCAGTGGAAAACTTTTATGTGTCAACTATGTGTGCATAGCCATATAGGCTAACTGGTGCTTTTACAGGCATTAAAAAAAAAAGAAGAAGCTGACTGCCTGTATAAGTGGTGTTTTCTAAGCTCTGTGTGCACGAGGCCTTAAAGCTTATTATTATTAATTTTTTTACATTATTGTAATAACAAACACGTCATACTTGCTCTATGCAGTGTTCTATTCAGTGTTACTGTCTGCCCTCTTGATGATACTGGGCCGCTTACAATAGGGGCAGATGTGTGAAGGGGGGAAGGGAGTGCAGAGAATTAAGGTAAACTTTTTTGTAACCCCCCAGCTAAAAGAAAGAGAAAGTTTCCTTTTTAGTTTGTTTCCAGAGATAAAAGAAACAAAGTATCCTTTAGCTCCAGGGAAAGTGACAGCTAATTCTGTGAGCTATAGTGAAAAAAAAAAAAAAAGCCGGTAATTGCATTTAAAAATCAGCACTGACATACACTTCGTATTGCAAAAAAAATTTGTAAACCGAGGTATTATTTTCAATGGATTTTCATTAGTAAACTGAAAACCATGTTAACCTAGGCGTTCATAAACCGAGGTACACATGTAGTCTGTTGTTTGTCTTCATATTTATATTTTGCTTTTCGGCTTGGATCTGTCTTAAAGAGTAACTACACTTTTGTTGAGAAAAAAACTTTCCCCTCTGGATGATCTATGTACATTGCAGAGATTTTAACAAACTTTGTTGTACATTCCTACCTTTTTGTTATTCTGAAGAAGTAGTTGTTTGTATCTCTGTGTCCATGGGCAGAGTGAATCTAATGGGAGTGGTTTTATAATTATCAGTCAGCTGCCGCACCTTCAGGTCTCGAAAAGAGGGAAATTCGCCAGGGTCTGCATCCCTTTTTAGATGTGATTTCCCTTTGCGAGTATCTCACCAAAAATGACAAGTTCCGCTATTCCGCCAACCCCATCCCCCCCCCCCCCCCCTTCCTTTGGCAACATTTCGATTTTTTTTTTTTTTTTGAGGGGGGGCAGACAGGCAGGTAACTGGTTTTGACAGGTACCCACTCCCACTTCCACTCAGATTGCCTAGGGGATCCAAATGGAAGTTTGCTTTTCTTTTCTAGTTTTTAATGTACTAGAATTTGATAATACTGTTGTTAGTATTAATAGCTCCATGGCTAGCACTTTATCCTTGTAGAGCTTAAAGGGTAAGTGCACTTATTCTTTCTTTCCTGACTTAAAGTGATTGTAAATGCTAAAACTGTAGGCTGTTTTTTTAATTTAAAAAAAAAAAAAAAAAAAACAAAACAGCTTTATACTTACCTGCTCTGTGCAGTCCTTCTCTTCTCTGGTCCCCCACTGGCACTCCTGGCTCCTCTTCTTCTGCGAGTGCCCCCATAGCTTGCTGCTTCCTATTGGGGCACTTGCTCCCAAGCCCTGCTGCCTACGTCTATAGACACAACGCAGCTGGATCTCACTCCCTTGCCACTGGCTTTGATTGACAGCAGCTGGAGCCAATAGCTCCGGCTGCCTCAGCAAAGACTGTGAGACCAGGAAATGAGGGAACAGAAGAGCTGCAGACAGGCAAAGGGGGATCGAATGAGGGCTCAGGTAAGTAAAAAGTGAGATGAGGTGGGGCTATTGATGCCTAAGCATTTTTTTACCTTAAAGGATAAATGCATAGTTAGTTGTAGGTGAAAAGATATGCATTTATGATTTATTTTGTAATTTTTTTCCTAGGGAGTCTGCAGAGAATTACACCCACAATCATCAGATTATGGGTGCAATGCAGGGCTCCTGAAGGCTCTCAAGATAGCCAGGTACGGGTAGGCTGTTACCTGAGAGCAGGAAGAATCAATGAACTATGAAGGGGCCCACCACCTCCCTCAGAGTTTGAGAATTACAAGCCATCGACCATAATGGCTGCTGGTAGCTGTAGTTCATTCATTCACAGAGAACTGTGTGGGAGCCCCATGCGGCCACGTTCTTTTAAAAAACTGACAGCGGTCTGTAGTGGCAGCCCACATATTTGACATCATGCAGGTTTTAGTTAAGTCTTGAGTTCAATACAAAGTATTTTATTGTTTCTACTCAGTGTGTAATACAGTCATTCTCTCCCAAAAATGACTATGTGCGTAGTTTTGCAAGCAGGGACTTCAGATGATGATTTCCTTTGGGGGCAAGGACTAAGGCAATAGATAACCTTCTCCCTCTAAAACCATGTTGAATGTGTTGGAATGAGGGAAATTAAGCTAGATAAATACACATGGTCACTTTTATGTAGAATACAAATTGCACCCATCATTTTTGAATGAAGGTGAGTTCTTGCCAGCTATAGCAACTAATCATATTTTCCATTGTAATTTTCTATACTCTACTGTCTAAAGACCTATAGAAGCAGGAAATATGTGCTCTCTCCTGCAATGGCTGCTGTCAGATTGCACAGAGCAGATGGCCTGTGATACAGAAGTAGCTGAGGAGTGAGCATAGTGCAGTCTTACTTTTTTCATTTGAAAGGCAAACACTTTTAATGTGACTTTTTTGTTATGCTCTATCTGATAGGCAGGCTTCTATAGGTTGGCAACTGGTGATTTTTAGTTGTTCCTGTCTTTACTTTTTACACTTGGATTTACTTTCAGATTCTGCAGTAATCTAAAGAAACTGCTGATTTTAAGCATAAGCACAGTTTTTTTCCTTTCTTCCTTTTGCATAAATTAAACGGAGATGTCAAAATTGATGTATCTGTGTGCATTATCTCATTTATGCATGTAAATAGTTTATCTTCCATTATTTACATATATAAGCCTTTTTCTGTAGGTGCGCAGGTATAAGGTTTTTGCATTCTCTGTAATTGTTGTGTGAGTGCTATTTATTAATACACATCTAGGAATGTACTTTATTATAAATATATTGAGTATTCTTTTTGTTTTCCCTTCTTTTAATTTTTTTTCCCTCAAATAACCTACATTTTAAGCTCTGAAAAACTAAATGCACCCCACAGAAAACAAACCTTTAGCGATTATCTCAAGATTGTAGTGCTTAATAATGAATTTTTGGGTTTTGTGTATTTCTGATTTTTGCAGGCTTTCTTAGAAATGGCTTCCGAAGAGGCAGCTGTAACAATGGTGAATTATTACACCCCTCTCACTCCTCATCTCCGCAGTCAGCCTGTCTACATTCAATATTCAAATCACAGAGAGCTGAAGACTGACAATCTGCCTAATCAATCAGTGAGTACTATTTCTTGTAACATCATTGGAAACACTGGCAGGTGCACTGTGTTCACACACTGTGGCCTTACTCACATTTGTGACTAGGCAAGAAGCTGTTTTTTTTTTCCCGCCTCTGACAGTCATGTTTTAAGGAAACCAGTTTTAAAGTAAAACCTGTGCTCAGTAGTTAGTTTGCTTGGGTGTTTCTGCCATTTGTAGTTTTTGGTCACTGACTCCGCAGCTGAAGTCAGAATTCTTTGCACCCACACCTGTCCTTATGAATTTAAATGATTGGGACAGTACAAGAAACCGACAACTAACACTTTTTTTTTACTAGAAAAGGTCGGCAATAGCCATAGCAGCCTACTTAGAGGTTTGTACAGAGAGTTGCTAATGGAGTAATTTAATTTTTTGTAATGCATTAAGAACTTAAAGGTTTCTTGATTCCATGGTTTTCTTTACATGTTAGAATATTGCGTACAGGCTTCAGTATAATATAGATAGATATATATATATGTATGTATGTATGTATATATATATATATATATATATATATATATATATATATATATATATATATATATAGAACAAGCAAAGAATGTACTAGCCAAATGGATGTTGAAGTTCATGGTTTGAGATTTTAAAATAAATAGTAGAATAATAATGAAATTCTCCCACCACTACCTTCTCCCTTTTCAAGTCATGGGGGTTATTTCGCTAAACTACTAAATAGTATTTGGCAAATGTTCACCTTTGTAAAAAATTCTTTCACATTTGGAAATTCTGAGTGAACATAATAATTTATTTAGTCCCATCAACCCCATAGTGTTACGCAGGCCATACAAGGATTGAAATTCGGCTTATTCAGCAGGCACTGTTCACATGATCCATGTAATGGCAGGCTGGTTGTGCACGATTCATTCTATGAATTGACTTGTGTATAACCAGCTTTTTGTTTTTTTTCCCGAAGTTCAGTGCTACCAGCTATGACCAGCAACAATGATCATTGTATTCTGGCAGAGGGGAAGGCTTCTGGCTGTCAGAATACAATACAACAGCAGGAGGTTTCTCCCTTCCACCTTGAATGTGTAGATAGTGGAATTGGATCTTCTTTTTTTTTTTTTTTTTTTTTTTTCTTTTTCATTTAATCTGCTGTTTAAACGAAAAATAATGACCAGTCTATGGGCTGCCTTAGGATGAAGTGGTAACAATTTCCAAAATCTTAACTAATAGTTAGGAAACTACAGTGGCTTTGTGTAGCTCTGAGGAAAGTGTCCATTATTTAGGATCAAATTGTTTAGGGAGAGAATTGTCCTCAAGAAAATTCTTGAGTCAGTCCTGTCTGGATCTGTAAGTGTTGTATTTAATGTATATATTTCTAATTTGATTCTTCTGATGCTTTGCATTGCACGCGTAACTTTGCAGTGTTCCTGATGCTTTGTTTTCTTCTTTAGCTTAAGCACGAGGTGTGCTTGAATCTAAATTCAAAGATAAATTGAACTTTCAATGTTCTGATTTTTTTTTTGCTTGAGGCAGATAGTACACAGAAAGGGATATCAAGCAACCAAAGAAGCCTTGAGGATAGTAAGCAGATTTAATGGCCATTAAGCTTCAGTATTTAATGCCTGGCTTCTGCAAAGAGGTTTCATGAAGCATCATGTTACAATGTTAGTCATAACATACTTGCCCATTCCCTGCAGATGTTAACTTTTAAATATGCAAAAATGGATGAATCTACTGTGCATGATTAAGGAAGTCCTGCATAGTAGATCCGTCTTTGCAAATTGAAATTTGCCGAGCACCTTTCTACTGTCTTCTGCTAAGTTGGAAGCTTGCTGGGTGCCTACTATACAAACCCATTAAAAATCCTCAATTATCCAGGCTACTTGAGCAGGGCTCATTGAAATAGTTGATAGCCCAAGGTTTGGAAGACTGGGCGTAACCAGTAACACACAAGAGTAAGGAAATACTAAATGGTTTACATCTTGTTTGACAAACTAAACAGAACCTCTTTGCCGTAACATCTTAAAAAAAAATGTATAATGTATAGCTATATTACAGTTGCAACGGTGCAGTTTAATGTTTTTTTTATTTTCAGCGCGCTCAGGCTGCCTTGCAAGCTGTGAATGCCATCTCTGGGGGTCTGACACTCACAGGTGGTCCTACTGGCGAAGGTTTGATGTTGTCTGGACAGAGTCCTGTCCTCAGAATAATTGTGGAAAATTTATTCTACCCAGTCACTCTGGAAGTTCTTCATCAGGTATGGGGTAACTGAGGATGATGAAGAAAAGTACTCACAAGGTTTTATGAAGATAGATTTGCTGTGTTCTGTGAAATATTTGCAAAATTATGGCTGTCCATAGATAAGCAGATACTGCATCTCACATGACTGGCAGTGTGAGATCATTTCATCATTGCTCAGGCCTTTCATGATTTTGCTTGAAAAACTAGTATATATCCTTTTTTATTTATTTATTTTTTTTACAGGTCTGTCTCCTATAGGACAGAGTTTAGTTCGGTCCAGCTGGAAAGACGAAGCTGCTTCATAACTGCAGTATGTCTAGGCTCAGAGCATTTTCCAGAGACACGCACCTGGAGCAGGAATGAAGAAGGTTGACTGTTCCCCAGCCCCTCCCGCATTTCTCTTGCCATTGCTTGTCTCTGGAAAGTGCTGAGTCAAAATAAGCTTCTGTCATGCGGTTTCTGTCTCTTCATAAGCTGCTGATGAATAGACTGGGCCAGAGGGGTAAATGGTGGTCAGGGGCAGGTTGGACCTCATAGCTAAGATTAGAAAGTACCTAGACTCATAGGACAAATACTATGGGTTGATTTACTAAAGGCAAATATTGTGCACTGCCAGTGCAATTGATCTAGATCTGAGGGGAAGCTCTGTTGATGTTTATCATCCAATCATTTGCATGCAAAGATGCTGTGTTTTTTTTTTTTTTTTTTTTTTTTTTTTTTTTTTTTATTTTCCCTGCATGTGATTGGGTATTCTTTGCAAAGTGAAGCTTTACCTCATTTACTAAGCTCTGGATCAAGTGCATTCTCATACATGCACAGTATATTTTCCATTATTGTCCTGTAGGGTACAGAACTGTGTTTTTTAAAAAAAAAAAAAAAAAAAAAGGATCTCCTTTTGATGGAAAAAAAGACGATAGATTAGCTGCAGGAATTTCCTAGCATGTTGCAGATTTAGGGTAATAGCAAGCATTGTCAGTGCTTCTTTTCGTGCCAGTTTCAGATCACTTGGTGTTTGCAGGTCTCTTTTGTATATCCAAGGCCTAGTACACATGGGCTGAATGTCAGGTTGCATCGGCCGGTTCAGTAGAAACCAGCTGACATTTGACACGTGTATGGCAGCTGGTCTGACACAAACTGGCTGTTCGTCTTGCTTCTGTCAAAGGGGCATGGCAAAAAAAGTCAGTGATCTGCAAGGGAGGCAGTTTCCCTTGTCAGAACACAATAGCACGGCATGGCGATCGCTGTACTAACATCAGATAGTTAATACAGTGGCTCCTTCTGAGCTGTCAGGTTTTTTGCCTTTAGGTTAATGAGAAAAAACTAGTAGTGTGTACCAAGCTTAAGTATGAACTCTGTCACTTCCTGGGAAAATCAGAATTGGAGAAGTAAATTTGGCTACTTCATATCTACCTTTGTCCTTAGGTTCAATTCAATTCCTGCTTGTTGGTAGTGGGAGGGATGGTTTGTAGTGATAATCCTTAATTTGGGGTGTAGTAGACTGGATTCTGTAATTGTCCTCTAATCCAATCTTTATCAGGACCTGTGTCAACTGGCTTTGATGGGCAATTGGAGGATCGTTTTGATATCAGTTTGAGACACTGCTGAGATCATTTAAAATTCATTGTATGTGCAGTTAGCCTGCTTCTGACCTTATTTAGCTGTTTTTGCATTGCCGTGAACTTTTATGGGGGAAGAAGTATTTCTGAATCTAGTCTGCACTTGCGTATGGGTATTTTGTATCCTAGTACAGGGGTCACCAAACTTTCTAAACAAAAGACCAGTTTGTTATCCTTCAGATTTTAGAGGGGCTGGACTGTGGCCAGTAGGCGCAGAAAATGTCCTAGCATCGGTAACCATGCCCCATCATTGTAGTCAGTGGAAGGAATAGCTTCCCATGATTGGTGAGAGGAATAGTGCCCAATAGTTGGTGTCAGTGGGAGGAATAGTGCGCCACTGTTGATATCAGTTACAGGAATTATGCCCCATTGTGAATGTCCGTGCCCCAAAGGCAAGCAAAGGGCAGCAGTTTGAAGACCAGTCCTAGTATCCTAGGTGCATCCTGTTTTAATCTTCCAGTTATCTTTCCTGGATAACCGATCATTTGGGGAATTCATAAAAGTTTTCACAAAAGGATTGTGTGATACTCCAACTGCAGCAGAACTGTCATCAGATCATAAGCAATACATTTTCAGATACTGTATAAACGTTCAGTGACTTACAGTTCATTATGTTTTCATTCTGAACTGACTAAATCCATCTGACTGAATAATACTTAGAGTATAGTAAGTAGTTTTAAACAAAGCAACCTTTTCTTTCTGAAAGTCACTTTTAAAGCAGAGCTACACTGCATCTGAGCATCACAAACAAATTTATTTTAATAAAACTCATCCATCCATGTTTCCATGCTTTTTTATGTTGAGAAATAACTTTGAAAAACACCTTCTAACATTTCTGGCTGCAGCCATCTTTGAGTAAGGGCAGATGATTCATGTAGCATTTAATTCCTGGAATCCATTTGCTCTTAGCTTAGGCATGTAGGCAGGAGGGTGTGCTTAGCAGAGAAAACCTCCTCTCCCCTCCTGAAGACTCCTGGGATGTATGATATCATTTGCCTAGGCAAAGAAACCAGGAAGTAACTGAAGAAATGTAAAAAAAAAAAAAAAAAAAGTTTAAAACAAGTAAATATGATTTACTTTATTATATATTTGCTATGGATAGCAGCAAAGTGATTAAAAATAGTCAATGCTGATTGAGAAAGTGAAGTTTAGCTTGACCAGGAAAAGTATGCTGAATTAATGTGCTGCAGGCTTGTCTTGGGTCTATGATTCAGGGTAATGAAGCCAGGTACAGCCAGGCAACTAGCATTTTAAGAAGGTCAGAAAAAGCAGCCTGAGTATGTTCCTTTAAATTAGACTCTTTCTATTGGAAGGAACGTTTTAAACAGGTTTTTATTCCATTTTAATTGACTTCTCGGCAAAATACTAGCTAAAGCTTCCAAAAAGTAGATTCATTTTTAATATTGTACAGTAAATGAGCAACAGTCCTTACTTCCTGTCGTTTTATTTAGCTTAGAAGCATTAGAAATTTCTACGTTCTAACTACGACAACTTTCTTCCTCTTTCTTCTCCTGGCTTTCTCTTTCTAATCCTCGGACTAGTTCATAGCTAGATTGTCTTTAATTGTATTGCAGAGATCTCTATTACCATTGTCAGGTTGTGCAAGCAGAACTGTTTGTTTAAAAAAGCAGCAATCCCAGAACCCAAACTTAAACCATATTTCATTTGATTAGACAAGTAAGATTAATTCATTAAAATGTGTATTTTCTGTGGTTTTCTCGTCTTTGTCCATTGTTATTGTTTAGCAGGCTTATAGCTGATGATTTATTTTTTAATCTGCCCTTTTTGTCATACTGGTCACAAGCATCTAATACCCTTAAACTGAGTGATTTTCCTTTCTGTTTTGTAACAGATCTTTTCCAAGTTTGGAACAGTATTGAAGATCATTACATTTACAAAGAACAACCAGTTTCAGGCCTTGCTTCAGTATGCTGATTCATTGAATGCGCAACATGCCAAAGCGGTAAGGGCACATGACGTGCACACTTATTGCAGGAGATTAGGAAAAAGAACTATATTCTTTCATCATGTTTTACAGTTATTTGTAAGTTTTGGCAGCCGTATGCTCTGTATCCACATCCACAAAGCTGCTTTGTGTAATAATGTGCAGTAAACAAAGACCTTTAGTAATGAATGAGCCTGAAATGCTCTGGGATTCAGCTCTACAATGGCTGACCTATTTTGCAACATTGAGATAAGTGACAATGCCAATGTATAAATGAGGGAAAAATCTATCTACCTAGATGTTTCACAAACTATCTGTCCAAGCAGCCTTTCTCTTTGGATGGAGATGATAAAGCAGTTGTTTACATGCTACTGATTAATTACCTGGCATTTGCAATTATCCTTTGTAAAGGGGAATTTATCTCCCTGCCTCACTATAAGGTGTCTAGTTGTGAAGGTCCATAAGCCATATTCCATAGATGCCATGGTTCCCATACATTGCACTGATCATGACTACCCTGAAACAGCTGTATATAGTTTGCAATAAATGGCTGATTATTAGACTATATCTGTGCTATAAAGCAGTGGTTTTAGATCTACATTTGGCCATATTGACCCTAAGGGAATGATGTGCATGTCTGTGCCCACTATCCTATGATGAGCAATAAAAACCTTAATTTTATGTTTTTTCATTTCATTTGTAAAATTCATGAGTTGATTGGAAGAAAGCCAGTCACACGATTTTATTCATTATTTTAAATATTTATTTATTTTTTTAAATTGTGGTAAAGCTATACCACTGCTTTATGTTTAAACTATATTTATTACTTTTTCATAGAAGAAAGATACAAAACCGGTTCTATCCAGTATACAGCCTCAGCACATGAGACATTAAATCTCACATAACTCTATAAGATATAATGCAATATAGAAAAGTCCTTGCATAGATGTAGTGATTCTAAAAGAAAAAAAAATGTCATACTTTCCTGCTCTGTGCAATGGTTTTGCACAGAGCAGCCCTGATTACTAATCGTCTTCCTTTTGCCCCCCACCCCATGAAAAAAATATTTGTGCCTTAAAAACCACTTTAAGACATAGTGTAGATAAGAGATGTAACATCATGAAATAAAAGTAATGACATCAGTAGACATTGGTGCTTTCAATTTTAAAACCACTGCCTTAAAATGAAGCTTTTAGTGACTTGGGGTATGTTTGGACAATATAGCAGCTACCTGAGTCCCAGTGATTGCTACTGTGGCTTAAAGGATACCTACACACAAAAATGTAATATATTGTAGCTCACGCTCCTTAGTTGCGGTGGTTGCATTTGTTTTTCTTGTTTTTTCCAGATAAAGTACATTTTCAGCAAGTACAGAAAATGTCTGTTGATCTTGTCAGAAATGCAGTGGCCTTGTAACTTTCTGTTAGCTTAACATAAAATCACAAATATCCTTTGTCCTGGCAACCCTGACTCACTACATAGAAATATGAAATGTGTTATTTGCAGGATTATGAGGTGAAAATAAAGTAAAAGACAAATGTAGGCACCGCAGCTAAGGACTGGTAAGCTGCAGTATATTAACATTTTTGTTTTTGGGTACAGATACCCTTTATTCACACTGTTTAGATCAGGGGTGTCCAAACTTTTTTCAAAGAGAGCCAGATTGGATGAAGTGAACATGGTGGGGGGGCCGAACATTTTTCGAGCATTCTTTGAACCATTACAATTAAATGCAAATAAATTATTTTATGCCAAGTTAATTGCAAATGACATACTTTTCATTTCATAACATTAAGATCAACTGACAGCTGAGTTTTCACAATGTATTGAAAATAAATAAAAAAAAAACTTAACTGCACTAATGTGAAGGGTGAAAAAGGTAGCTGGAGCTGAAGTCTCTGCTCGGCAGCCGGGAGGGGAAGAGAAACACACTTCACGCTAGAAGCCCGGCCCTGACGTCACCGCCCTCTGTCGCTCCCAGCGCGGCGCAGTCACGCATGCGCACTGCTCTCAAGCAGAAGACTGTCTGCCACAGAAGGGAGAGCCGTGCGACAGCCGCATTTACACAGACCAGGGAGAACGCGCCGCAGTCAGGCATGTGCACTGCCCTCTGCTCTCAAGTAGAAAACTGTCTGCCATAGAAGGGAGGGCCGTGGGAGGGCCACATTACACAGAGCAGGGAGGGCTGTTGGAGGGCCGTATTAAACCGACCCCCGGGCCGTAAATGGCCCGCGGGCCGGACTTTGGACATGCCTGGTTTAGATGATGACCAGTGGCTGTGAACTGCAAGCCCGGTTACCTCTATTGAGATAAGTCTGGATGTTGTACATAATTTTTGTGCATGCTGACTGGAGCCAAAAGGACCGGTCTTGTGCGGGGAGAATTGGCGGGGTGAGAATATCTTTGGTGTCCTCTCCCCTAAAGCAAAATGAGCATTTAAGCCATGCAGTGCCAGCACAGCCCTCCCCAAAAATAAATTCCTGCACAACCCACTTCTGCCAAGATTTTATGAGCAGTTTTTCTTTCCTACCACTGTCTTTATTTTTTATTTTTTTTTCTTGTGTGTCCTTTTTTCACCACATCACAACGCCGCTGTAATGAATAGAACTGAATAAAGTGTCATTTTGTCACATTTCAGTAAAGTTTAGTTTAAAAGAAAAAAAAAATACTAATTAAAAAAAAAAAAAAGTTGCTGACTTTAAAAAAAAAGAAAGTAGCCACTCACCTGTCCTTCGGTCCAGCGGTGTCCTCCCTGCAACCCATTTCACCTGCTTTCCTGTGTTCCAGATGCTGGCATCTTCAGTGTGGGCACACGACTGTGACAGCTTGCGGCTTCACAGCCTGGTGCCCACTGCACATGCATGAGTAGCACTGCAGTTCCTGAATGGCCCCGTAGTCTTCTAGAACCTGTCACGTGTCCCAGAAGACTATGGGGAGGGGAGGGTGAAAGGACAACTTCCTCTTCCGATCGCAGCAGAATTGGGAGCAGGTACCTGTCAATTTCGGGTACCCGCTCCTGAAAGGTGCCAATCCTTTAAAGCGGAACTTCCACTTTTGGGTGGAACTCCGCTTTAAGTTAATATGTAATATTCTGCATGTGATATTCATCTACAACTGTTTTTTAAAAGAGCAGGTCAGCATTTTGCAAAGAGAAGTCATACATATAATATTTATCATAGCTCAAAGTAAGTTATTGTGAAAAACCAAACAAATGTACCTAACAGAAGGTTTATTGATTAGTGCAGATAGGTTTCCTTGTTTTGCCCACATCATAGCTTGAACAAGTTTTTGAACATCTATGAAATGTAATTGCTTGTTTACTTGGAAATAATGTTGTGATGTTACATCTGTAGATTTCTGTGTTTACTTTCATCAAGGGTCACTGTCTACATGTAGCTTGTTCTTGCACTGCTTGTAAGGGTTTGCTCTAAATGGTGTGGTTCATTCCTTGCTCCAAAACATCTTCTTAAATTAACAAAACTGAGCCCGAATTTGCCGTGAAGATTGCTTATGTGTAGGACTGAGTGGGAGTAATTAGTGTTACTTGTTTGTATGGTTCTGTGTACCGAAACCCTGTGGAAAGGTAATAGGACATAAAAAAAAAAAAAATCACTAAAACTGTGCAGCTGGCTTGGCCAGTGCCTTACAATGAATGTATAAATCTGTTACTAGCCATTTAGAATGGTATTTATAATAAACAAATTGACAACAAAAATCAAGTCTATAAGGCACCACTGCCTTTATCATGTAGTGCAGCTTTTAATAATATTTACCTTCTCAAACCATGAGGAAGTGGGGTTCTCTGGTAAGCACACCAGCTTATTACTCTGCACACTGCGGTGAGCTGTTCTGCCACTCAATACCCATGCACTGCGCTCTGTACCTTTCAGAGCACTGCATTAAACAGCCATGTCTGCTCCTTGGGGCATTAGAGTGTGCTGCCAAACCATTCCAATATGTTAAGGCTGCCTTAAAATGAAAACCTATATTTTTTATATTTATATATATATATATATATTTTTTTTTTTTAAGCAGAGGCCCTAGAGAATAAAATGGTGGGTGTTGCAGTTTTTTATGTTACACAGTATTTGTGCAGTGGTTTTTCAGACGCTTTTTTAAAAAAAAAATGCACTTTAATAAATTTTAGTGTACAAAAACACAATATAATACCCAATTGTTTGGTAAAATATAAAAGATGATGTTGCAATGAGCAAATCTATACCTAACATATCACGCTCAAGGAATGAGGCTAAACTATGGTACCTAAAAATCTCCTAGGCGACTCATTAACTGCTTTAGTACCGGGCTATAAAAAGACGGCTACAGCATGATTCTCTTGTTCTGGGAGGGCATCTGTAGACATCCTCCCAGAACTCCGCACCAAGTAGTTGTCAAGAATGACATGATCTATAGGTACTGTATATCAGACAGATGTAAAACAACACTGTCAATGGTATACTTGGCAAATAAGAGAAGTTCAGCTGGTTTGGAATGAACTGAACATAAGGGTAAAAGCAAAGCAACCTACAAGTGCAACACATTTTAGGAACTTCTACAACAGTGTTTGGAAGAACAATATTTGATTTCCATTTGAGAAAGAATGCCCCTAGAATGTTTGGCTTTCATATCCCCAAACAGCGCCCTTTAATACAAGTTCTTACTTGTTAATGCTTTGCAAAAGTTTTATTTAAAGTTTTTTTAATCTGTCATATTTGTGGCCAATGTTATGGGTTGCAAATGGCAATATCCGTTTCCTAACTACAAGAGGACCAGGCTGCAGTCAAACATTAACGAGAGCATTAAAGGAGCTCTTTTGTCTGCTGTTCTCCTGTTGATCACAGGAGTGCAGTTCATTCTGCACTCCTGCGACCTGTTTTCAGCTGGCAGCGAGCTGAAGTCACTCAGTAAGTCCAGGCTGGGGAGAGCCTGAGCCAGCCACTCCCCCTCCACAGCCCAGCGCTCCAGTGAGCTTTGTGGGGGGGAGAGCATACAGCAGTGACTAACAGTCTCCGCTCTCTGCTCAGAGCGGTGGTGAGTACTCAGTAATTAGCGGTCATGTAATTGCTGAGCTCTCATACTTGGAGCCGGTGGGGTACAGATGCAGCATCGGAATGATGCTGCATCCACCTAGGTAAGAGAGATTTGGGGGGGAAAAAAACCCACATTTCTTTTAAGAGTGGCCAACAAGTCTAGGGAGAAGAATACTGAATTTAAATTAAACAGGACATAGGTTATGATACTATATAATTGAGCAGTAAGCGAGTTGGAGATGAGCCCCCCTTCCTGTATTAAAAAGAAAATCAAAAAACATATATTGCCAAGGTATACATACCCTCTCCATACTATAGCGCTGTCCCCGACTTCCTCCTCCTCCTTCAAGTGCCACTAGTTCTATATGGGCAAAATGATGGTAATCGTTATATCATTCTGCCATTATCTGTGCATCCAGAATGTCATTAAGATTTTGGATAGACTCACAGATTGGACTATGATGTGTTAAAAGCCAGGTAAAAATTAAGGGAAAAACATTTCCACATGGAAGTTCTTTGTGAATCTGGATGCAAAGAATTGTATTGTCTCGTAATTTTATTGAATGATCTTTAATTTAAAAAATGTATTTTTTTTTTTTTATTTAGTCTGCTCTCTACGAAATGTTGCAGATTTTATCATATATCTTATGAACTATTTTTGTCCATTTTTTAAAAAAATGCCCCACACTGATAGGGCTCAGAAAAGCCTTTATTCCCCTAAATGTGCATTTCACTTTATTCAAAAACGAGAAACAACTTTTCCTACAAGCTGTTGCCATTAATTACCTACTTTTTGGGCCTGCTTGTCAACCCTGAGTGACCCAGTTTATAATCGCCCTTCTATAAGGGCCATGTGCAGTGTCTCTGTAGCAAACTGAATGCCAAATAAAGGCAGACAAGAAATGATTACATGAGCTATATTTTACTAATGGAAGAAAATGTCTAGTACCTTTTTTCTCTGAAGGTAATATTACTGATATATGATCCTCTAGAGGTGCTAAACAATAAGTAGTATACATAGAAAAATATAATGTTTCTGTTTCTGACTTCCCTGACATCTGGTTCTAATCTCTGGCATTTTCAGGCCCAGGATCAGGATACATTTATGTACCATTCTGTCTCAGCAGTTTGCCCATTAGAACACACATGGATCTAGTTGTGATAGTCATAAAGTGTATAATGTTGCGTTTCCTCCTTGTGTACCCTTTCACCAACCCTCTTGTTGCTTAAAAATCCTTTCTACGTGAAATTTTAAACTTCAATCACCATTATGCTATTACCTGGCTCGTATTGTACAAAATTTTAACTTTGCGCTTATTTGTTCAACCTCTCAAAGTAGTATAAGGATTAATTCACACCAGGCGCTACATTACAACACTGCAGCTGGTGTGTGGTTCACCTTTTTTAATTTTTAAACCAACTTTATTGAAATGTGTTATAGTGACATTTCATGAAGTTATATTGGCTGCCATGCTGTGGAAGACAGTGGGTTGCCTTGCACCTCATTGCACTGCATTGAAAACAGACTGTCCTTCTTTTTTTTTTTTTTTTTTTTTTTTTTTTTTACCGCACACCACTTCAACATGGTGGTGTGGACTAGGCACATAAGCGACAAGACACTTTGCTGTGGGACTGCACTGGAATAACCACCCAATACAATCCCACTGCACCTAGTGTGAATAGACCCTAAGGCCTCATGCACACGCACATATGAATAAGTGCTCCAAATATGCTGCCAGAAAAAAATGTCTCGTTGCATTTTTGCACCCATATTAATGTAAACTCATTTTGTTGGCTAGATTATTTATTTATATACGTGCATATTAGACACATTTACGCATAAATTGTACTGAAAAACTCCTCTGAATGCAGGTTGGGACATTCTTTTAATGTTCCTGAACACTGCTCTAAAATATGCCTGTAAGTGACACAGCGTACAGTCTATAGGCACATTAGATAACTTACAGCTGCTTTCAGAGATTTACAAAAAACACACAGGACTTAAAAAAAAAAATGCTACCTTTACAGGCACTGGCTTTTTTTTTTTTTTTTTTTTTTTTTATACCTGTAAATGCCTTTGTTAGCCCATGTGTCCATTCACACTTAGGAGTTTACAAGCACAAGTGTTAGTGTTGCTAAATCCACAATAGTAAAATCAATCTGTATATGCAGTGAAGTATGCTTGTTATATTCACTGTGGAACTTAAGGGGTTAATTCTCTGCATTGTTTAAAAAGGATGTTTTGATCTTCTCTGATCCTTCTCTTTTTCTGGTGTCCCAAATCTTATCTGTTGATACAACAGAGCCTTGTGCCAAGCTGCACATGCTCAGTTTGGTGTGTATTGCTAGAGAGTATTTTTTTCTTGGGTTAATGCATGTGATCAGAATCAGTTCTGTCCAGATAGAGGCTCAGGAGTTATGCAACCTTCTAGAACAATCGGACGAGTGAAAACTCTTCTTACAAGCTTTAACCGGTGCTCTGCTGGACACAGAAGTCACAAGACTGCTCTAACTGCTAGTAAGAAAAGATATTTAGCAGTTTATATTTATTAAAATGATTGCATTTCCATGTTCTGTATACTGTGAGACCAGATATAGTGAATGCAGGGTTATGGGTTTAATAACACTTTAAGAAGAGGAGCTTTTGAGCAGAAAAAAATGTGCATAAACACTAGGCACGTTTAAGAATAAATTAATATTTTGGCCAATAGAATGCATTAATGCACAAATGCATGTGAACCTACAAAAACGAATGAGCAATATGCGGCTTTTACCATTATGTTTAAGCTGCTTTTCTCCTGCCAGAAGAAAAGTCGTTCAGAGGAGCTGAGCAAATGCCTGGTGCGCATGTGGCTATATTTACTTTTGGCCACCTCTTTTTTAGCTGGGCCGCAAGTAAAATTAAGCCAGCCATTCTCTGGCTTATGGGCAACTGTATCCACCAACAGGGCATTCTGTTGGATTATCTTGATGCTAACCACTAGTTGTAGTGGTGATTATCTTAGACCACTGATGGTGATCTTTTCACTTTGATTGTCATATATATTGCATTGAGTTTGTATTATTGCAAACAATATACAAAAATAAGACTTGTAGTAAAATGGATTTCATACACTACCACTATGTTTTTGGATTCTTGTACAAACTGAACAAGAAATCCAAGAAATTAGTACAACATGTAGCCTCAATGTAGGGCGTTTCTATAAATTAGGAATGAGTCAACGCACCCAAACGCTTAGCGATTTCAAAGCTAGATGTATTATACAATAGCATAGTAAATAGCCGAAAGCAAGGTGAGCCTTGACTTGATAAAGAACTTTTCCCATCTCTTTCACCTCCATCAATTACGGGGGGGTTTTCTCTTCACTTGATTTTGTAGTGGCATTTTTGCTGTGCTGGGTGCCCCCCCAGTGCTATGCTTATGTACTTCTCGCAGTAGTTTGGAGATGACATTCTGGACAGTATTACATGTACACTATATGTATCTACTATCATTTGGGGTCTGAACTAGTTATTTAATTTGTTGATAGTTGTATTAAAATTTTCTGAGCAGTCTTATGCGTGGTCCACACTTTTTTTTTTTCATTCAACCAAGCGAGCTGACCAAAAAAAAACCTGATAGATCTCTCTATTTAATATTGGTAGTTTGAGGTGTATTATTGCTATGGTTTGTAAGCTTACCTTTAATTTCTTTTTTCTTCAAAAGGCACTGGATGGGCAAAATATTTATAATGCATGCTGTACTTTACGCATTGAATTCTCGAAGCTGACAAGCCTTAATGTCAAGTACAACAATGATAAAAGCAGAGACTTCACTCGCCTTGACTTACCAACTGGAGATGGTCAACCATCACTTGATGCAACCATGGCATGGCTGCGGCATTTGGTAAGAATTGCTTACATTTTATCATTTTATTTGCTCATAGGTTATCACAGTATCTAAAGTAGACAAGAAAAGTAACTTATCATTGTTTGATATAGTAGCAATTATATGGATATCATATAAATTATGAGGACCACAATACTAAGATTAAAAGAAGACCTAAAAAAATCCAGACCGGCAACTAACACTACAGCCTTATTCACACTGGCTCTATCAAACCTGGGTTATATGCATTTAGAAGTAGTCTTTAAATGCATTGTAATATGGGGAACCCGGGATGATCAGCCGTGCGTTTTGTGTACATGAACCACCTTTATCGTTCATCACAGGACACAGAGCAGCATTCATGACTATGTGGGTTATAGGCCACCCCTAAGTGAATGGACACTGGCCGACCAATCAGAGAGGAGATGCTCCCCTATAGACCCCCTCTTACACAGGAAGTACCTCCAGTTTTTTTGCCAGTGTCTGTAAGGTGGATGGTCACTGAAAGTGTTGCTGTGCTCTTGGAACATACCTGAAAGTCCAGAAAGGTTCCAATAGAGTATCGGGGACTTTAATCAAATCCATTTGGAAGGCTATGAGCTAAAATGGATATTACCAAAGTCTTGCTGGATAAGGAGAAGCATTCTCTAGGTCTTTCCTGTAATGCAGCCTTATGGCGCTGGACCCTGCAGAGATGGAATCTTTTTTAAATCTGACCAAGGCGCTTCCAGCGGAGTGCTATACGGGTCCAAGGCAGTAGCCCCTCAGCGTGGGGACTAAGTCCTTGAAGGTCTGTATGACCATGCCCATCATGATGGGTGAAGGTTGGTGCCTGACGGCAGTCAGGGACCTGCGGCAGGACTGATAAGATATCTCCTTTTTTCTATCTGTAAAGAGAAACAAAAGCCCTAAATGAGAGGGAAAAATAGAGGTGTTGTGACTGTGAGTTTTCACCAGGGGTGAAATATAGGAGAGGGAGGACCTCCTCCCTGATTGGTCGGCCCAGTGTCTCTTCACCTATGGGTGGCCTATAACCCATATAGTCATGAATAGTCTGCCCTGTGTTCCGTGATTTTCTCCAATAAATGGATTTTACAAGTAAGCATGTACAAAAAAATCCAATTTTATTCTCCATTTAAAAACAAGCAAACACACCAGCTTCCTTCACCAAAACAAACTAAAAACAGTCCTTATTTATGGTATGATGAAAATAATATATTGTTTCACCACCAGAATACCAATCCCACACCAGGGTGTTTAGGTTCTGCTTGGAGGTGCCACAAGAGCCGCAGGAGTTCACTAACCAGTGTGTCAGTGGCCAGACAGTTCACAATTGGTCACAGCTGTGAAACATTCCACGCTACCTCAGACAGGTGATGACTCCTCCTTCTGGTTCTTTTCAGGGCTTCCCTACAGGTGGGTTAACCCTTTTGGGACCAAAGTTCCTATAATCGGGGTTTGAAGGATCTTTCCCAGCCACAGTCTCTCCAAGGCTCTGAACTCCGAGTCCCAAATGAGGACTTGCCAATCTAGCGAATACTGTAAATCAGTCCTCTCCTTTCCAAACGAACTACTCCGGAACCCCTCAACCTGCATGGCTGAGAACCCCTGTGTACAAAAAGGTGTTCCCATCACCCCCTTTATAGGGACCACAACCCAGATAGTGGGGAAACACACCATCTATCCAGGACCCTTCCTCGATGTCCTGTACACCATATAAATGCATGTAATTTTTCTATTGTGTCATCCAAACTGAGCGATTACCTGCATTTAGGTGTGGTCAGTTTGGGGAAAGAATTCTCTGCTAAATGCAGCTAAAACCACTTTAAAGTGAGAACATCTAAAAGCAGAGAAAATTTACTTTGGAGGCATAAAAGTTTTTTTTTTTTTTTTATGCCTCTGCGTTTTAAGTTAAAAGTTTAAGTTAAAAACATTTTCTAGGGTAAATTTAGAATTGCACTTTTGAGTTTAACAGCCTATTTTGAGTTTGGAAAATACTTGATGATTTTATTTTAAATGTTCCATATGCCTCTTACCTTGGATAAAGTAGAAAGCCACCCATGATGGGTGCTACAAAAGTCCCAAAAGTATAAATGGTCAACTTTGGCTATGGTTACGCCCTTAGAAGTTTAGGAATTCAAGATGGCCATGCACTAACTGGATCTTTCATCCACAATTCTGATTTATTGGTCACTGCATAGGTAGTTCCTAATTATTTGCCATAAACTATGCAGAATAGTATTTCATCAGTGCTATATCATGAGATAACTAAGTGAAGACATTGTCTAATCAGTTCTTCATCTATGCTCAAGCATTTAAAAAAAAAAATACTGGCCAATTGGCATGTGCATGAAACCACACTTTTCTGAGTCTACAGGGTCTCACATGACATACTTTTAGCTTTTCTTTACAGGGACGAAAAAAATGTGTTTACAGTTGTTTTTATTTCCAGATCTGGACGCAGTTGCATTGTTTTCAGTGTAAACATGCACTGCGTTCAAATCCATAATACTGGGTCCAAATGTCTGTGCCTGAGAACATGCGTATACCATAATTTTCCCAGGAACTTTTGGTCCTTGCCTGATGATCAGTAACATTTTTATGCCCATGGCCTACAGTGTGCTGTGGGAGTGTATCAGGGGTACTCTACAAGGGGAATAGATTCTATAATCTTCTCCCTTTGTGAGTTTATATCTTAAAGGGAATTTGTAATATTTTGGCATGCATTCTTTTTTTAATTTTTGTTCAAAGCAAAAAAAAATTACACAAGGCAAATAGTGTAAAAAGTAAGGTAAATTGATCTCCTTTTTTGCGTCTGTTCACTATACATTTGAACGAGGCAGAAAAAGGACACAGCCCCTTGCTTTGCTAGCTCATGCAGGCCATATGCATTTTCAGTTACACAGAAACAAGTGAGCAGACAGTGCTGGGCTATTTAAACAAATGATCTGGAATGCTTTGCAAATGGTCTGCTTTTTGAGACAGGCATTGGTCTTGCACGATTGTGCACTCAGGGATGTATGTTAGAAGCTATAAAGATCTGTGCAACCATCCATCTGTCATTGATTTGAACAGGTTGGCTGCATGTGTCTGCACGGACCACCTGTGCCACTCGAGCAGGTAAACACAGCCCTCTGCAGGGGTGTACTAAAGAGACACCTTTGTAAATGTTTCCTTACAATATATTTTGGCTCAGAGGGAAATCTCTACTCAATATTCCCAAGTTTCATAAATTCAATCAAATTCAAAATTCATTCAATATCAAACTGTTTGAACACTTTAACATGACCATGAAACAGTTCCCTGCTATATAGAGTAGCATGTAACTAACATTGCTCAATGTTCATTGCCTGAGTAGCCTTCCCATGTCAACCTGGGAGTGTGATGAAGAGCAACATTAACCACTTCCCGACTGCCTACCCACAATCTACTGCGGACGTAAGGGCGGTAGCTGCAGGCAAAGCTACATACCCATACGTCTCTTTGCTCTTCCGCGTTTAGAGCGTGCATGCGCACGCCCCCCCGCTGACCCCACTGTCATTTATTGTAGGAGATGTATGTCAGCAGGTTTTGGCCGGGACTCTGCCGATCTCCTACGGCGAATGGAGATGCAGAGCTTTGTCTGTATTTGTAAATACAGGCCCAGGAACTAACTGGTTCTTCTCTCCCTGGAACAAAATGAAAGAAGAAAGAGACATCACATGTGAGTAAAAGCAGCACACTCCACCCACACACAGTAGATAAACATTTTATCCCCTTGGTTGCCACATTTAACCCTTTGCTCCCTGCCAGTGCCATTATTACAGTGTCAGTGTACAGTATTTTTCACTGATCACTGTATTAGTGCCACTTTTTTGGGCCTAACCCTCAACATGGGCATTACAAAAAGAATGAGTTGCGGTTGTATTGGTCCACAGACCCAATTCATCATATGCCTGTGTTCTCTGCTGTCCTAGCCAGGCATTGATAAGGGACGATAATGCGCTTCATGCATTTCAGTGATAACACTGTTTTTCTCGGGGTGACCCTGAACATGACCGGCTCTACAAAATTCAGCCCCTCATAAACCACCTCACTGAGCAATTTGCAGATGTGATTATGCCCCAGCAAAACATCTGCGTGGTTGAGTCTCTCATTCACTTTACTGGCCGCCTTGCATTCAAACAGTATATCCCTAGCAAGCATGCCAGATATGGGGTCAAATTGTATAAGCTCTCCGAGAGGGCCACAGGCTATACGTACAAATTTAGGGTTTATGAGGGAAGAGAAAGCGAAGTAGAGCCCCCCCCTGACCACCCAGACTACATGGGGAGCAGTGGCAACATAGTTTCGGACTTGGTATCGTCTTTATCCCGTAAGGGGTGCCACTTATAGGTGGACAAATTCTATACAAGTGTGCCACTGTTTAGACATTTGTACGATCTTGGAATTGGCTCATGTGGCACCGTATGACCTAATCGCTGCGGCTATCCCCGACTTAGGGGTAGAAAGCCTGCTTGAGGAATGATTAATTGCTTGCAGTGAAGTGAAAGGACAAATGGGATGTTTTCGTCCTTTCTTCCATTCACGCAGATGCAACAGTCCAAATTAGCACGGTATCTGGCATTGTTGAGAAACCCCTGTGTCCACGACTATAACCTTAACATGGGAGGGGTGGACTTCAATGACCAAATATGAATCCGTACCTAGTTTCCCGGAAAGCTTGACACTGGTACAAAAAGGTTTATTTATTTCAATTGACTATATATAACACTTTTGTAATTTACAAAGCAACTGGACGAAGTGGATACTTAAAATTTCAGGAAGAGATCATCACAGCCTTTTTGTATCCGGAAGCTGCTGTGGCCCAATCCTCAAATCCAGATGCAGTTAGCTGGCTTCATGAAAGGTATTTTCTGGGTGTCCTCTCTGGTACCCCAACCCAAAGGTCATGCCAAAGATGTGTCTGTAGCAGACACAGAATAAGACGCGACACCCTGCTTTCATCGCTACCATACACTAGTGGAGTAGTATTATAG